CCTGGCGCAATATGGTTCATGGGGTCACGAAGAGTCGGACACGACTTAACGACTAAACAACAACAACAATGGTCTTCCAGTGGTGCTCCAGATGTTTTGGGATTGCACCTAAAGTGCCTATAACTGTTGGTACTATCTTTGCTTTCTTTTGCCCTAGTCATTTACTTCTATTTGCAGGTCTTTATATTTTGTAATTTTCTCCAGTTCTTTCTTTTCTATTCTGCTGTCTCCAGGTATTACAATGTCCACTATCCAGACTTTTTTGTCTTTCTTATCAACAATGGTTAAATCTGGGGTGTTGAGTGGCAAATGCTTGTCTGTCTGAATTGTAAAGTCCCAGAGCACTTTAGCTTCTACATTTTCTATTTCTTTGCCTGTTTTGTGGTCCCACCAGTTCTTGCTTGCAGGCAAATGGTATTTCTTGCAGATATTCCAATGCACTATTGTTGATAATTTGTGATGCTGTTGTTTGTAGTCAGTCTGGGAGATCTTGCAGCAGCTGACTATGTGGTCTACTGTTTCTTCAGCTTCTTTGCAGAGGTGGCTTTTGCTGTCTGTTGCTGTCTTCTCAATTCTGGCTTTGTATGCATTTCTTCTTAAGGCTTGGTCTTGTACAGCCAGAATTAGCCCCTCTGTCTCTTTCTTCAACTTTCCTGTTCTTAGCCATTGCCAGGTCTTGTTGTTATATGTTTTGTCTGCTAGATTTTTTTGTGTACTGGCCATGTAGTACTTTACTTTGCCATGTCTCTTTTCTATTCTTCATTTGGTCTTTCTTGTAGGCCACTTTGGTCTCTTCGATATTCAGTAAGCCTTCATTGTGTACTAGCTTCAGTGCATCTTCTTCACTGTCTTTCAGATATTCTTCCAATGCCCTTTTTTCTTCTTCAACTGTCTGGTCTACTTGTAACATTCCACGCCCACCTATGCTCCTTGGTGAGTAGAGTCTGTCAACATCACTGATAATGATAACATGATTCATTGTTATTATTTTTCTGGTATTCCTATCCAAGGATTTTAGTTCAGCTTGAGTTCAATCCACCATCCCAGCTGTATATCTAATGACTGGAATTGCCCAGGAATAATAATAATAATAATAATAATAATAATAATAATAATAATAATAATAATAATTCGTCTGGATAGTGGACATTGCAATATCTGGAGACAGGAGAATAAAAGAGAAAGAACTGGAGAAAATCACAAAATACAAAGACCTGCAGATAAAAATAGAAAAACTGTGGCAAAAGAAAGCAAATATAATACCAATAGTAATAGGCGCCTTAGGTGCAATCCCAAAACATCTGGAGCACTACTTGATCACCATCGGCATTGACAAAATCACCATCAGTCAATTACAAAAGGCAGTTTTGCTTGAACAGCTTATATCCTGCAACGATACCTGTAACATGATCAAACAACATGGGGGCGGGGGGGGGCTCATTCTCACTGGTAGTTCTGCCTTCTTCAAAGAGAAATCCATTGTACTTCACAGGTATGTTGCTTCTAGATGTAATATAATCATTCATACAATCTAGAAATGCCCTTCCAGTTCTACATCCACAAACACATGTTACCTTTTCCTCATTACTTTGTGGCATTGGTAATAGTTTAGTTTCATGATAAGCCATGCAGAAATTTTTTGCTTCTCCCCAGGTCAAGCGTTTTGTTGTTTCTATGTAATAACAGCTGTTTTTCCAATACCACCATCCAGGATCTTTTGGACATCTGAGATGAATCACATCTGAAAAATAAACAGCTATGGCAACAACTAAGCAATAACACAATATTTACAGAGTTTTTGCTGCTGTTGTTTTATAAATACTGATACAGTAAATTGTCCTTAACTACCCAGTAACATGAAAACATTAAGCATCTGATAACTCAAAAATAACTTAATAATTGATGGAAGTCAACTTCTGAAAAATGTTTTTGCTCAAGATAACCAAATTCAATGTTGATGATTTAACTCCTTTATATTGCAAGTCAGGAATCTGTCTTGAAAGCTATAAAACCTCATACATGGAAGACCTCAGGAGTTTAATTATAATTGCAGCAAATCTGTATGACGGATTGCTTCCTGATGGTAATCTATAGCTATCTTGTATTTCAAGTTTAAAATCAGGTGCAAGTCATTCTTGTAAACAATTTCCCACATATAATAGTAGAGCATTTCATTTTCTGTATACATAGAGATTCGTGAGTTTTAAATTTTTTCTGGTGAGTCGCCCTTGAGTGAATTAGTTTTCAAATCTGTAACTAGTTTGGCATGAGATTGCTCCTTTGCTTCTGAATTCTGCAAGCAAGTTTCCTAAGAAAAAACAGGGTTTTTTCCAAAGTATCTAACTCCTTCTAAAATTTGAACATCTAATTTTTAGCATCTTTCACTTCTTCATGAATCCCAGTTTGCAAATCCATAAATTGTTCCTAGAATCTTTACACACTGATTTCAATTTAACTATTACCCATCTCAAAGCTCGTTAGAGAAATCTCCTGAGAATAACATAGAATACAGGTAGTCCTTGACTTATGACCATTCATTTAGCAACCATTCAAAGTTACAACAGTGTTGAAAAAGGTGACTTATGACCGGTCCTTACACTTATGACTGTCACAGTGTCCCTGTGTTCACGTGATCAAAATTCAGGTGCTTGGCAACCGGCATGTATTTAAGACAGTTGCAGCGTCTCGGGATCACATGATTGCCATTTCCAACCTTCCCAAGCAGCTTCCAACAAGCAAAATCAATGGGGAACTGCATGATTCACTTAACAACCACATGATCCACTTAATGACCACCACAAAAATTGTCGTAAAATTGGGTGTGGTCACATGACACCTCGCTTAACAACTGTGTTGCTTAATGACAAATTTCCGGTCCCTATTGTGGTCATAAGTTGAGTCAAGGAAACAAATGGATCATTGAACAAATCAACTCAGAGTTCTCACTTGAGACACACATGACCAGATTCAAATTATAATACTTCAGATACATTATGTGAAGAACTAGCTCTTTGGAGCAGTCTATAAAATTGGGAAAGGTAGAAGGAAAGAGAAGAAGAGGATGACCAGCAGCAAGGTGAATGAACTCCATTACAGAGATGGTGGGTGTATCATTGGAAGACTTGATGGACCAGGTTGGGGACAGATCATTCTGAAGAAAATTTATCTATGTGGTTGCTAAGAGTGAACACTGACTTGACGGCACTTAATCAATCAATCATCTCAAAGCCCATTATTTCTTCTCGCGCAAGAGTATAGACAGGTAAGTCAGGAGTTAATATTGCTCTATCCATTTCAGCAGATCCAGGAGAGGTAGCTGGTATAGACCCGAAAGATTCAGCAGAATCCAATAAATTCTCCATCATTCCAGGGCTCATGCCTCCCTGTTCACTACAGTATAGGTAGAGTTGAGGTAAAGAGGTGCAGTTTTCTTAGCTTCATGAGGCATTTTGTAGCCTTTAGTTGTTAATATGTTATTGTATCTGGGCTATTAAAATAAATTTCAGAAAGCAGGGCATAAATAACTCACCACTGAACAGGTTACTTAAGTAAATCCTCCACAGGGGGGATATAAAGTGAGAAAAGTAATTGCTTAAGCTGCCATTAGACCGGAAGTTGTCAGGGCCCTACTACAACTACTGATTCTTCCTCAGTCATACTTTGATGCAGATTTTAGTGTTGTGATAAATTGGAATACTACAATAATGCTAAAATAAGACATTACACTTGTCAGCAATGCCTCACTATACTTTACACTGGACCTCCAGACAGTCTCTATGGAAAGAATCTAACACAAATCTGACAAGAGAAATGGCAGTATGCAAAAACATGGGGGTGGGGTGGGGACAGTGACTCACAGCAAAAAAAAAAAATTAAGAGGACAGAAAACTTTCAGATTCTTAAAAGTGATAGAAGTGAAGGACGGTAGAATGCTTTTTCTTTTTTTTAAATTTAAAACAGATATATTTTCAAAAAAGATGATGATGTTGATGATTTTATCCTGCCCATTTATCCCACCAGCTCTTTATTTATTTACTTATTTTTGTGTGTGTGTGTGTGTGCACGTCAACTCAAGTTGTGAACATACCGAATACTCCTGCCTATTTTCCCCACAACAACCCTATGAGGTGGGTTGGGCTGAGAGACAAAAAAGGAAAGAAAGTAAAGTAATACGTGAAAAAAAAGTGCAAAGAAAGAGAGAAGAAGAGAAAAGAAAAAGTTATAAAGAAGTGGCTTCTGATCTTCTTAACAGCAGTTACAAGTACATTTATATTTTACCCTCTCTTTCTAAGGTTATAACGTAATTGCTTTCTTTCCATAGTCTACCCTTTCTACTTATCAAACCCATAAATCACAAGTTCATTTTTTCTTTTTTTTCAGCAAAAAGTCCATAACAGGTTTCCAGTCACTAAGGGAGGCCTAGAAATTATAGTCTCCTCAGCCAGCACCTTAACCATTACACCAAACTGGCTCTCTAGTTTGTATTCTATTGTCAGCCTTGCGAGGTAGTCCAGACAAGAAACACATCTAAAAGTACTAACTCCATCTTTATTGTAAGGTTTCATTAACAGAATTTTGCAAGTCTGAAAGTACATCTGTTCCCCCCTCGCTTTTACAATCCAAGAAACTGGGGAGGGCCTCTTCTAAGATGTTTGCTACATCCACATTCATTCTGTGGGTTTAACTTCTCTTATCTGACCCTTGTCCAGTCTTTAGCTCTTCCTCCTGTCTCCCAAGGCCATTCCCACATACCATTACATATATAGACATGTATAATGTCTATAAATGTGCAGCTAGCTACTACAATTGTACAACTGATGTTCAATATAACATTAATAAAAGATAGCAAACAAAGTACACTTGAGCTGTTTTCATATAAACTTGGAGAATATGCAGCAATGGCAAAACTAATAGAAGTTTAACTAAATTCAAGCAAGAATGGCTTCCATATACATTACACATTACACAAGGCCAATACAGACATTAAGAGCATGGTTTCTAAAGCTTACACCAATACATATGGATCAAGAACAAAAAAGGGGGAAATCAAAAATCAAATACAGTATTTATCTATATTATTTTTAGTGATGTTTTTCTTTTTTCCCTTTCCTTTTTTCCCTTTTTCTTTTCTTTTTAATATTTATAAACAACAATATAGTGGAGACTTTGTTACTAAGGTAAAAATTCATATTTATTTTTTCCTTTTATAATGGTGGAATGATTTCAGTGACAATGTGTTAAGAGAAGTGAAAGGGGGGAAATTGAGGCCACATAGAAAAAGATTGTAGTATCACAGTGGGAACAAGAAATGCAACATTGAGTTAGTATATTGAATATGGGGAACAAACAAAAAGAACTAGTAAAGAAAGAACTTTATGCCTGATAAACAGTGTGATAGCAATATATCTGATACTGCTGAGTACTAAGCAGAAGCACTATGGGTTGACAGCTCTGGAGGAGGCTGTAACTGGAGGTGCATGTATGACAGGGGGGCTACAGGCTTGGGCATGAACCACTTTGGATAGGGGGAAGGGGAAGGCTTTGGAGAGGTGAGGGCAGGCTGCAACATCCCAGTAGTGACGAGTATGGGGAGATATGGTGGGAGACAAGAGGTGGCTCACAGGGACCGTGCCAGAGGTATATTGTTCCTGTGGGACCTTCCAGCCACTCAAGCTCATTCCTGGGCCCCGAATGGCACACCTTCAAGGCCCTGGGTTGTCAGCTGATGCTGCTGCATGCCAGGTCAGTCTGTAATAAGGCCACCTTCATCCATGACTTGATCATGGATGAGAAAGCTGATCTGGCGTGTATTATGGAGACCTGGCTGGGAGAGAGGGAGGAGTTCCCCTTTCTGAGATATGCCCAGCTGGGTTCCGGGTGTGGCAGTGCTTTGGGGGCTGCACTGGTTGCCAGTGTGCTTCTGAGTGCAATTTAAGGTGTGGTTGTCACCTTTAAAGCACTTCATGGCTTGGGACTGGGTTACCTGAGGGACAGTCTTTTCCCAGTTGTTTCTACCCATCCAATCTGGTCCAGCAGGATGGGCATGCTCCAGGTTGCATTAGCCAGGAGATCTGCCTTTTGTGCCATAGCACTTGCCCTCTGGAACATCCTCCCTCCTGAGATTATGATGACCACAACCCTGTTGGTCTTTCGGAATGCCTTGAAGACCTGTCTGGGTGCCTAGACCTGAGGTTCTGAGTGCGTGAAGGGCCCCATTTCCTGGCTATGTTGACACAGATGGATTATAATATCTACTGGCTGCTATCTATATTTAATTTCTTTTTTGTAATATGTTTTAATTGTTTTAATTGTTTTTATGATTGTTTGCCACCCAGAGTCACTGATTTGAGATGGGCAGCTCTATAAATCAAATCAAATCAAATCAATCAATCAATCAATCAATCAATCAATCAGAGAATCTTCCAGAAAACAACAAAAGATCAGGAGCAAATACAACAGAAAAAGAGCTTTCCTCTGTGAAATAAACATTTAGTTAAAGCAGAAAAACCAGTTGGAGACAGTGCCTTAGAGGCCTGAAGCAAAAGAGATGATTAACATCATCAAAATAAGCAGACATATTGCAGTTGAGCCCTTTTCACTTCTTTTCCTGAATAAAATGCCAGTTTAGTGGAGAGGACAGATGCCAGATTATAGGAAGCTCAGAAGGGCATAGAAAAAGAAGAATTAAGCAGCACATTCCAATTGGTGCAAGTTAGAAGCAAAGAATGCATCAAAGAATATCTTTTTTTCAGAATGGAAGAAATAGTGACATGAGCTGAAAGATAGAAAGATGTATAGATTAACCCACTCAGTTAGGTTGAAGGGTCAAGCAGTAGGGAAATGGTTCATTCTCTCATTCTCACCTGAGGATTTCTTCCACTAGGGCCTTATTTTAAAGACTTGTACCTACTGATAGCTCATAGGGATATGCCACTAGTCCATACACCCTACTGCACAGCTGGTTCCCTCAGATATGCTGCTGCTTACTCAAAGATGAGGAAGATCATATTCTGAACCGATTTGGCATTAAATAATTTCAAAATCAGACTGGAAGGTACCATGGTATAGCTATTCAAATCCTGAGAGATGAGGACAGTTGGAAGGAGCATGGCTTTCAAATATCCCTCCTTCCCAGACTACTTCACTGCAATGGATTCCAGTTGAGGGATAATAATAACAAAAACTAATTAATTCCTCACAGCTGCTTCCTCCTTCTGCTACATCTATATAAGGGAGAGAAAATTAAATTGTGTACCTTGTTGACAATCACTTCTTAAGCGGTCTTCATTACATTGCTCATTTTCTGCACATTGTCCATTTAATGGATTACAACTTTCAGTTCCATTACAGCTGCAAATCATGCCACACTCTGCACCATAAAAACGTAGTGCACATGCTGCCAAAAAATGTTTAAAAATTAAATGTCCCAGAATGGTAGCTAATTATAATGTCATACTATCCCCCTCCCTGACACAAGTTTTATAACAGACATAGTCACCAAAATACTCCAAGGCTATCTATAGATCTCTGCTGAAAGGAAGGACTAAGTTGAATTATTATAAATTTCCATTTTCATGAGGCTAGCCACAACCAGACTGTTCTGTGCCTGACCGTTTTTTCCCCCTCTCACAAAGCTAAATAAGCTATCTCTTCCCGAGCAGCTTTTCTCCATGGCACAGTGCTTCCCTAATAAGTGCTACCCACAGGTTAATAAGCTACATACTTCCAATTTGGGATAGCGCTATAGAACAGGTCTCTCACTTCTCTCTTCATTAAAGGGCTTTCAAACTCCTGAATTATCAGATTCTGTGGATAAGTACTTTGTTTACTGGGTAATTAAATTTTTTTTATTACATGTCATCTTGCTTCTAACAAGCTATTGGCATGGCAACTAAATCTGAACAATCAATAGTTTAAATCTTACTGCATCACTATCTGCTGAGGCAGGAAAGATGGCAGAGGAGGATTCTTCTTCTAACTTGTTAAAAGAGATTCTGGCTTAGCTGCAAGCTATGAAGCCAATTCAACAAGATTTGGCTGAGCTTAAGAATGATCTAAAGCAGATGCAAGAAAAAAATGGCTAGATATGAAGATCGATTACATGCCCACGAGACCATAGCTCAAGCCAGTCATAATATTTTGGATAAACAAATTACTTAGCTAGAATCTCAACTACAATAGGAAAAATCTATGTGTGATTGGTATTGAGAACCCCCCTCTAACCCAGTCAAATCTGGCTGAATTTATGGAGGATTTTTTTTCAGAAAGCTCTTCTCTTTAGGAACAGACTTTCCAGTTGAGATTGAACATATGTTTAAAATTCCTCTGATGAGACAGAAGACTGGAACTAGTTCAATACCATTATTGTGCAGTTCCTTCATGTTACCATAAGAGATGAGATTTTATATATATTTCACCAGGAATCAGTAAAGCCTCCACTGAAGTGGGGTTCCAGCCAAGGTAAGATAAGAATGTTTACAAAAGCCCAAAATGTTGCTAGATCAGCACAACTCCAATATTTCATGTGCTTTCCAGCAACATTCTGCATTAAATATCAAGATCAAGTACACAAATTTGACAATCCTTTGAATGCAGAGGCCTTTATCCTATCATTGAAATCTGCTGATGGAAAAACCTGATTCTGTCTCACTAAACATAGCAATGGTTAAGGGAGAAGTCTAAGGCAAGCCCCCTTTTAAAAGACTCTTCAGTTTTCACTTTTTTTTCTGTATTCTTGCCAACCTCATGATAACGAGTCTGGGCGTATTGCCAACTTAAGTTTTATTTCTATATTTTTCACGTTAGTTTAAATGAATAATTTGAAGCTGTTATGTACATTTACTTATAATAAGAGAGATAAGCTACAGTGTTATCCCACTGATAAGTTGTGTATTTCTATTTCTTTATCTGTTTATTTTTAAGATTCTTTCCAGTTTTTATAACAATGTTACTTGCTTGTTCCATTTTCTTGCACTTAACCATGTTTTTCTATTTTCTTTTAAGTATAGATTCTATATATATGTAATACAATGCTATTTGAATATTAATTTGACTTCCTATGCAGGTTATACATCTGTGAGCAATATTAGAAAATATGATAAATATTTAACTAGAGAAAAGTTCATCACCAGATGTTTGTCAATAGGTACAGGTTATAAAACAAAATGGTAGTGGGAGAATATTGGTAAGTGGGCCAAAACAAAATTAATGAAGTTAGTTAGCACTAATGTGAAAGGGCTAGAGATTCCAAAAAACAAAATGTAATCTTAGCATATTTAAAATTGTTAAGGGCAGACATTGTTTATTTACAGGAGACACATTTAATGGAACAAGATAAATCTGCATTAATGAAAGATCGGGTGGGACAGGTTTACCTCACAGATACCTCAACAAAAGCTAAAGGTGTGGTCATTCTGGTTCGAAAAGGGTTTTCAATTGATGTACAACAGGTTATTACTGATGTGAATGGCTGTTATTTAATTTTATGTGCTAAAATAGCAACCCCTTCATGGATCACTGCCTTGTTGTGGCGAAGGGGCTTGCGTAACTCAGTGAAGC